GAGATCCAGAAATTTTGCCACCATGGCAAGGTGACGTAGGAACCTGTTTAATAGAGATGAGAAGTCGTTCTACTTTGATCACGATTCAGACACCAAGTTACGATTATTTTGATAAAGGTGTTGGCCACTGCAGCTATAATATTTATATCCTCACCTTCCTTATTTGTCACTCGCCATAGCTGGAATGGATTAGCTCCTGCAACCCGCTGATCTGCAAAACAGCGGTCCTTGAAAAAGTTCTCTTCGACTGCAGGAACGAGTTTCAAGGCACTCATAGCACTGCGTTTCTAAAGAAATTTGATTTCATCAAAAGTGGGTTGTCGGGTTTCAGATGACTTAATCCCAAAAGGGTCCATACTAGGTCCCGTACTGTTCATCATCTACATTCATGGTCTAATTAACTCAGTTACTCACAGATAATTATAAGTCTCATGTTAGCTACACTTAAAGAAGCAATAATGAAAGAAAGAGATTAGGTCTTTTTCAAGCTTGTTAGTCAAAGTTAAAGAGAAGCAAACATTTTCAAATGTTAACAAAATAGTCAGAACACTAAAACAGATTCAGCTCCTGAGAAGGTATCTAATACTACAGTATAGAATCGATAAACATTTCAATGTCGTGACAAAGAGGCTACAAAATTATTAGTACTTTAATGAAGTAGCCATTGTGTGTATAAATCTCAAACATGAGAGTAACTGAGTGCAAGCTATGCTACGGAAAACCAAATAGTTACCCTGTGATGTTTGTAGAAGGCTTCAAATACTACTGCAAAGTCAATCAAAGTTGGTGTTTCGTGGAAACGAGGATCTTTGAGAGTAAAGTGTGACTCAAGATCTTTGTTGATATCAGCGTTGTCTGTCATTTTCATGTACCACTCTATGGTGAATGGATCCGTAGACGCACTTTGAACAAAGCTCGCTGCGCCTTTCTTTGACAACGTTGGCACCATCAGATCCTCTGACCTGCTTAAGGAAATCACATTAAAGCACGACTACCAATAACTGCTCACCAGAGTGAAAATGCACTAGCGGGTAGTCAAGGTAGCTTGTGCATTTCTTTGCCATCTTGGGAATACTAAAAACGTGAAACCTATCTTCACACATTATAGAAGACGTGAACACAAGACATTTTACAAATTTTGTTGTAAAAGGTAGTACCCCTCTCTACTTTCTGGAACAAATTTTCGCAACTTGCAACCACCCTAATTGTTGCCAGACTAGTGTGATTTATAGCCTGTTCCAAGCACTCAGATGGTAGGGAAGACACGAAAGTGAAAGAAGTTTGTGGGGTGAGGGGAGGAACAAGGAAGGAAGAGAGAGTATGTAATAATTTCTTTATTATAAATAAATTCCATAAGCTACCTCTTGCAAAAAGGTGCAATCTTGAGGATTCGACCTTCCCCCGACCCGCTCTGCCTCCTTCGCCGTCAACCTACTCGTTGTATCCTTCTACGTGGTATCCGAGCTTGATACTAAAAGTAAGCAACACCCTGCCTGGAATGGGTACTTTTGCCTGCCTTTCATGTTGTTAGATTAGAGAGGTCAAGCATCTTGTTTACAGCAAACGGCAATCGGGAAACAGCAAATAGAGAGATGCTCAAACGATTGCTAATGTTTTCGAGAACGATAGAGGCTCTCTCTCGCTACGTTTTTCATAAACTTAACGTGAAAGTGCTCATCCTCACGTTGGGTAGGGAAAAAAGGGTGGGGAAAAAAGACAAGCGTATAGAATAAACAGAGGAAGAAATTGTCACATTACAGGTGAAGCTTATGCGAAGTTTAATCCTCTACTCTGGACTACCTACTTGGAATAACGGTTGTCCGATGCAGAAGTCAATCTTATAAGTGTTTTCTTGATGTGCCTGCTAAGTTCTCTCTTTATGAGGCACTGAGGTGACGAAAAGCGTGGAAGTGTTATTCGGCACTTGAGTTCTGTTGGCAAAAATTAAGAAGAAATACTGGTGTCAGCATATCGCCGGGTCAACGTTCTCCACCTTGACTTAACTTTGATCGAGAACTGTCCGACGAATGTATCAATTTAAGTGTAAAATACAGGTCGTTCTTTGCTGCCGTCGAGACACTTTTACTTTTTAACAAAGGTTAAAACAGCTTTGCCACAAGGTTTACAAATGCCCCAGAAACTCAACGTTTGGCGAGCAGGCAGTTTTTGGATTGGACCTGTTATCCTTCTATTAAGAGTTCTTTTGATACGTTATACTTGCTATTAGAGTCATACTACCCACCTCCACAAGTAATTCCACCAAAGTCATCGGCGCACTCGCAGACGTAACCGTCAATATAATTGTAGTTACTCACACACGTGCCCCCGTTTCTGCAGGGGTTAGGCTCGCATTTGTCGTCATCCTCAGGGTTTATGGTCACAACTTGAGATGATTCCGATGACTCCTTACTTTCATTGCCTGATAACTCACCGCTTGCACTTTCATCCTCTGTGAAAAAATGTCAGCAGGTAACGGTAAAAGTATAGAAGACAACTGTTATCTCAAAACTGAAGTTGAACATTTCCTTCCAAACTCATGCCAGCCCTCTCAGGCTTGGACGATGCATTCACACACACAAAAGACGCTTAGCGTTATGATCAGATAATTCGACTCTATTGATCGTTATTTCTCAGCCAGAGTTAATATAAAAGTTAATTCCATATCGCAAGAATAATGACCCTAAATTGGCAATTATAGTAACAATTGAAAATGAGTAGGGTAATGCAATTCTAGAGCTCTGATTGGCTTAGCCATCATGGTATATGAGCCACTATACCATGTTCTCTAACTATAGTAACTGTAAGCGTCTGCTCAAAACAAACAAGCTGAAAATCGGTACCGCAGTTACCAAATAAAGCAAACACTACCAACTCCGCGAGCGCGGTATGGCCAGTACAATAAGCATGCGCACAGCCTTATCACCACGGCAGTGGCAGCCATGGACAGCTGTTTCGTCCTTGTTAGGAGTCATCAGCATGGCATTTCCAGCACGGTCTCACTTACGATCACCGACCCTGCCTTTACTGCTGAGGCGAGCGCAAAAGCTCCACCTTACAAATAAAGTTGGTATAAAGTTGCCCTTTGACCAGCGTGTAAGATGAGATGCCATTAGAAAGTATTAGCCAAGGTTGCGTTAAAGGTGGTTTGGAAAGAGGGGCTTTAAGCAGCATTGTGAAGTGGGTTTAATATCAAACGATACAGCTTTGCCCAAATATAGAGTTTGGAAAAACACCCAGGAGCGTGTCATTCAAAGTAAAATCATTCAAACTAATTAAACGTAGAATTTATACTAATAACGCGGCTTAAATCCCACAAGGAAATAAATCTGATCTAGCAACAGTTTATTGGCGCTTTTGTCTACACGCCTTTAAACGAGATTCCATGGTGCGCGATGAAGGACGTCCTGAGATACTGCTTCTTACAAGCTCCTCTCCGACTTATTAACCCCCCACTCCCACCCCCTTGAGGTCCATCTGTACCTATAAACCCCGGATATAAACCCCCCTCTAGGTTTTTAATTTCTAGCTGTCGTTGAAATTAATTCTATGTATTATGACATTCTGAACCAGTAAATGCAGAACGTTTTTTGATCAACGCTTGTTTCAAAGAGCTTTTTTTATTCCAGTTAAAAACACCCACGGATATAAGCACCTCCGTTTGTAAGCGCTCCTAAAAACCCCCTTAAGAATATGTTTGAGACCAGGGCTTACAAACGGCAGTTTACGGATTCAATTTGTTCAGTACCTAACCTTCTTTTCTCTCTGCATTCAAACTATTAGTTCTATAAACCTTTTCTAAGGCGTCTTTATCTCCTGTGCCAAGAGCCGCCTCAAATGTTTCGGCCCATTTGAAGTCCTTATTCAGTTTCTCATCAAAAAGATCCTGCCACTGAATACCGTTTTCTCCTGAAAGTGAAAGAGGACTGCATTTCATAGCTCAATCGATCGGCAAGGAACAAACAAACTAGCAAATTAAACAAACAGAAAACGATGACGATGACGATGACGACGACGAAAACGACAACGACAAATACATTTCTTGGGTTGCAGAGATTTTTGACACTCTTCATTCGAAGGTTTACTAACTTTGCCGCTTAATATTGCGAATAAACAAAAAAAAATAGAGAGGAGAAGTTTGAAGCCACATTATCATGGAAGCAAAAAATCTTGACAGAGACGGCCATTCTCATTGTCGAAAGATTGAAGACAGGTATAGGCTACCGAGTTGTTCCTGAGTGCAACCATGCACAGAGGAAGTCATACATGCCATTCTTCGTTTTTTAGCCGGCATATCTTCAGGACCACGGTTGTTGAGATCCAGAAATTTTGCCACCATGGCAAGGTGACGTAGGAACCCGTTTAATAGAGATGAGAAGTCGTTATACTTTGATCACGATTCAGACACCAAGTTGCGATTATTTTGATAAAGGTGTTGGCCACTGCAGCTATAATATTTATATCCTCACCTTCCTTATTTGTCACTCGCCATAGCTGCAATGGATTAGCTCCTGCAACCCGCTGATCTGCAAAACAGCGGTCCTTGAAGAAGTTCTCTTCGACTGCAGGAACGAGTTTCAAGGCACTCATAGCACTGCGTTTCTAAAGAAATTTGATTTCATCAAAAGCGGGTTGTCGGGTTTCAGATGACTTAATCCCACAAGGGTCCATACTAGGTCCCGTACTGTTCATCATCTTCATTCATGGCCTAATTAACTCAGTTACTCACAGTTAGCTACACTTAAAGAATAAATAATGAAAGAAAGAGATTAGGTCTTTTTCAAGCTTGTTAGTCAAAGTTAAAAAGAAGCAAACATTTTAAAATGTTAACAAAATAGTCAGAACACTAAAACAGATTCAGCTCCTGAGAAGGTATCTAATACTACAGAATAGAATCGATAAACATTTCAATGTCGTGACAAAGAGGCTACAAAATTATTAGTACTTTAATGAAGTAGCCATTGTGTGTATAAATCTCAAACATGAGAGTAACTGAGTGCAAGCTATGCTACGGAAAACCAAATAGTTACCCTGTGATGTTTGTAGAAGGCTTCAAATACTACTGCAAAGTCAATCAAAGTTGGTGTTTCGTGGAAACGAGGATCTTTGAGAGTAAAGTGTGACTCAAGATCTTTGTTGATATCAGCGTTGTCTGTCATTTTCATGTACCACTCTATGGTGAATGGATCCGTAGACGCACTTTGAACAAAGCTCGCTGCGCCTTTCTTTGACAACGTTGGCACCATCAGATCCTCTGACCTGCTTAAGGAAATCACATTAAAGCACGACTACCAATAACTGCTCACCAGAGTGAAAATGCACTAGCGGGTAGTCAAGGTAGCTTGTGCATTTCTTTGCCATCTTGGGAATACTAAAAACGTGAAACCTATCTTCACACATTATAGAAGACGTGAACACAAGACATTTTACAAATTTTGTTGTAAAAGGTAGTACCCCTCTCTACTTTCTGGAACAAATTTTCGCAACTTGCAACCACCCTAATTGTTGCCAGACTAGTGTGATTTATAGCCTGTTCCAAGCACTCAGATGGTAGGGAAGACACGAAAGTGAAAGAAGTTTGTGGGGTGAGGGGAGGAACAAGGAAGGAAGAGAGAGTATGTAATAATTTCTTTATTATAAATAAATTCCATAAGCTACCTCTTGCAAAAAGGTGCAATCTTGAGGATTCGACCTTCCCCCGACCCGCTCTGCCTCCTTCGCCGTCAACCTACTCGTTGTATCCTTCTACGTGGTATCCGAGCTTGATACTAAAAGTAAGCAACACCCTGCCTGGAATGGGTACTTTTGCCTGCCTTTCATGTTGTTAGATTAGAGAGGTCAAGCATCTTGTTTACAGCAAACGGCAATCGGGAAACAGCAAATAGAGAGATGCTCAAACGATTGCTAATGTTTTCGAGAACGATAGAGGCTCTCTCTCGCTACGTTTTTCATAAACTTAACGTGAAAGTGCTCATCCTCACGTTGGGTAGGGAAAAAAGGGTGGGGAAAAAAGACAAGCGTATAGAATAAACAGAGGAAGAAATTGTCACATTACAGGTGAAGCTTATGCGAAGTTTAATCCTCTACTCTGGACTACCTACTTGGAATAACGGTTGTCCGATGCAGAAGTCAATCTTATAAGTGTTTTCTTGATGTGCCTGCTAAGTTCTCTCTTTATGAGGCACTGAGGTGACGAAAAGCGTGGAAGTGTTATTCGGCACTTGAGTTCTGTTGGCAAAAATTAAGAAGAAATACTGGTGTCAGCATATCGCCGGGTCAACGTTCTCCACCTTGACTTAACTTTGATCGAGAACTGTCCGACGAATGTATCAATTTAAGTGTAAAATACAGGTCGTTCTTTGCTGCCGTCGAGACACTTTTACTTTTTAACAAAGGTTAAAACAGCTTTGCCACAAGGTTTACAAATGCCCCAGAAACTCAACGTTTGGCGAGCAGGCAGTTTTTGGATTGGACCTGTTATCCTTCTATTAAGAGTTCTTTTGATACGTTATACTTGCTATTAGAGTCATACTACCCACCTCCACAAGTAATTCCACCAAAGTCATCGGCGCACTCGCAGACGTAACCGTCAATATAATTGTAGTTACTCACACACGTGCCCCCGTTTCTGCAGGGGTTAGGCTCGCATTTGTCGTCATCCTCAGGGTTTATGGTCACAACTTGAGATGATTCCGATGACTCCTTACTTTCATTGCCTGATAACTCACCGCTTGCACTTTCATCCTCTGTGAAAAAATGTCAGCAGGTAACGGTAAAAGTATAGAAGACAACTGTTATCTCAAAACTGAAGTTGAACATTTCCTTCCAAACTCATGCCAGCCCTCTCAGGCTTGGACGATGCATTCACACACACAAAAGACGCTTAGCGTTATGATCAGATAATTCGACTCTATTGATCGTTATTTCTCAGCCAGAGTTAATATAAAAGTTAATTCCATATCGCAAGAATAATGACCCTAAATTGGCAATTATAGTAACAATTGAAAATGAGTAGGGTAATGCAATTCTAGAGCTCTGATTGGCTTAGCCATCATGGTATATGAGCCACTATACCATGTTCTCTAACTATAGTAACTGTAAGCGTCTGCTCAAAACAAACAAGCTGAAAATCGGTACCGCAGTTACCAAATAAAGCAAACACTACCAACTCCGCGAGCGCGGTATGGCCAGTACAATAAGCATGCGCACAGCCTTATCACCACGGCAGTGGCAGCCATGGACAGCTGTTTCGTCCTTGTTAGGAGTCATCAGCATGGCATTTCCAGCACGGTCTCACTTACGATCACCGACCCTGCCTTTACTGCTGAGGCGAGCGCAAAAGCTCCACCTTACAAATAAAGTTGGTATAAAGTTGCCCTTTGACCAGCGTGTAAGATGAGATGCCATTAGAAAGTATTAGCCAAGGTTGCGTTAAAGGTGGTTTGGAAAGAGGGGCTTTAAGCAGCATTGTGAAGTGGGTTTAATATCAAACGATACAGCTTTGCCCAAATATAGAGTTTGGAAAAACACCCAGGAGCGTGTCATTCAAAGTAAAATCATTCAAACTAATTAAACGTAGAATTTATACTAATAACGCGGCTTAAATCCCACAAGGAAATAAATCTGATCTAGCAACAGTTTATTGGCGCTTTTGTCTACACGCCTTTAAACGAGATTCCATGGTGCGCGATGAAGGACGTCCTGAGATACTGCTTCTTACAAGCTCCTCTCCGACTTATTAACCCCCCACTCCCACCCCCTTGAGGTCCATCTGTACCTATAAACCCCGGATATAAACCCCCCTCTAGGTTTTTAATTTCTAGCTGTCGTTGAAATTAATTCTATGTATTATGACATTCTGAACCAGTAAATGCAGAACGTTTTTTGATCAACGCTTGTTTCAAAGAGCTTTTTTTATTCCAGTTAAAAACACCCACGGATATAAGCACCTCCGTTTGTAAGCGCTCCTAAAAACCCCCTTAAGAATATGTTTGAGACCAGGGCTTACAAACGGCAGTTTACGGATTCAATTTGTTCAGTACCTAACCTTCTTTTCTCTCTGCTGCAAATAGGAAGGTTCGGCACTTACATTTGAAATTTGAGGGCAGAAAATGTCTCAAAGGCATTTTGTTATAAAAGTAAATTGCTAAGACTTATTAAATATATAAATCTGCCAAACACCTTGATTAACTCAGAACTGTCAGTGGTTGAAATACTGGTTAAAATATTATTTAATCTTTTTCTTTTCCTATTTTGCCTTGTTTTATAGAACCTCATTCGCGGTGTTAAACTTAATCTCCATTTAGGACTGATATTTGTCACTGAGCTTAAAGATTAAATGGCTACCCCAGATTAGCAGAAACCCTCAGGCAACGCTACTGAAAACAGGGATCATGATATTTCCAAGCCTGCATTCCATTTTTGCCGACTGCATGCATGGCCTATCGGCCAATGGCGTTTAGATCAGCACGATGCTTGATGCAATCTCAAGTTTTTTTTTTAGCTTGGAGGAAGTATTCCTTAGCTGATTAAGTCCTTGAAATTATAACAAAGTATTTTTACTCTTATCCAGTGTTTTGAGATATTATCTCACCTGCTCCTGTTTTTTGACAGAGAACAATGAATACCACAAGAACTGCCGGTAACTTCATCGAGCAAACTTCAAGGGTTCTGTTCAAAACGTATTACAGGATTATCATGTCTTAGTATCATAGTCAAATTCGAAAAAGCCAAATCTTAATTTCAAAATAAGACCACAACAATAAGGTGCCTTTGATTTAAAACTCTTGAAACTGAGTAAACTTCAATCAAAAGAACAGGATAAACTACATATTATATTTAAACTAAGGTTCCGTTTCTTACATTTCTTAAGTTACAATGGCTAACCAGAGAATTAGTCTATAACGTACCTTATGAACCAGGTATAATTGCAAAAAGACTGTGAATTCCTACTGAAAAAATTTCCCACGAGTAGAAGGGGAATTATAACTTTCAACTTGTTGGCAATGAACATATACTCATTAATGTTTAATAGATCTGTCAGCGGTGCTTAAAAGTTGTTCGACAGAAACAATAAAGATACCATGAACTTTTTGATACCCTGAGAGCTGAGTCATATACCGTGAAAATAAAATATCTTGAATGTTTCTGCGTGGTTGCTAGGGACGCCGTTGGTATCAACACCTCTGAAAATGTCTAGAATGAAACAACGATGGCCTTATAAGGCGGGTAATTAAAGCGCAAGAATAATTTTTCCCTACGTACAAGTGCAAATGTAGAAAAATCTCAAATCGAAACTGGAACTTAAAGGTGGTAGACAAGGAAAATAAAACTTGATGACTAACCGTTAAACATTATATTGCAAGGATAAAAGGCGTACGTTAGTTAAATCCAAGCTCATTTTCCCTAACCCTAACCCTAGAAGACATTACTATGACCACGCCAAAAGGAATGCTGTTCTAAATTCCAAGCTATCTTAACTGATGCCATTAATGTTATGACTAATTTAAGAGCTGTTATTGCAGACCCTCCTTACTATAGCACTCGGAGTAAAAATAACGTTTGTAGGCCTCAATCATATCGCTAGCTCCTGGGGACAAAACCGTTTCATGATCTACCAGCAGCCAACGACTGGAACATTTTCTCTAATGAAGTTAAAACATTTTTGACATTTAATCTGTTAAAAGACACATTAAGAGCATTTTATAATTTTTATTTTTTAATTCTTAAATTATTAATTTGTTAAAGGTTTTAAATTCTTCTTAGGCATTTTTCTATATCTGTAATTTT